AAGTACCATGAGGGAAAGATGAAAAGTCACAAAACTCTGATCACTCCTCCTTGGCTGCCGGCTTCACCGGCTCGCGGTATTTACCAGGCGAAACGTAACCCAGAGGAGGTCCTCCCAGCTGCAGAGACAAGCTTAACCACAAATAACCTACCTTTTTAAGCACTTATATAAAGGAATCAGAATAAGGAACCCTAACAAGGTAGGTTCTTTAGTAGGGTCCAGGAAAGCTACTGGATTTAGAATTCGGGCTGTAAGGCTTTGGAATTGGGGAATCAATGCGTCGGCACATGAAGGTCCACAAAGCTGGCCGAGCATCAGTCATGCCGTCATGCAGCAAAACTGGGTTTAGGGTGCTTTACAAGGTGATCGTAAAAACTAAGGTAACTGAGCTCCTGAAAACCCTCAATATTATACTGAAAAATCTTGCCAGAACCCCGTCCTTGGACAGAAGAAGGCATCCAGCTCGGGGGCTTGAACCCAGGCGGAGGACCTTCGGCGCCGTCCAGCAGGCGTCCACCCAAGTCTTTCACCTCATGAGCGTTTGCATTGGGGGGTACAGTTTAGGGTTGATACCAGAACCCTAACCCTGAATCCCAAACTGAACTCGAACGCAACACATTTCAAACCCTGAACCCCAAACCGTAAACCCTAAACCCCGAAACTCTGTCTTCGCCAAAGTCGCCGTCCAGGTTATCTCTTCCAATTCCTCCTTGCGCTTCTTCACCTACCGACTCAGCCCTGTGGGTCTGCCGCTTAGGGTGCAGGATTTCAGTTTCAAGACATTCTGAGATGAAGCATTTCGCGTCGGGCGTGAGGCCGCCAAACTTCGTCACTTTAGACTCGAGGTGCAGCCGCGGGGCTGGCTATTATGGGCTACTATGGGCTATTATGGGCTATTCTGGGCTACTGTGGGCTACTGTGGGCTATTATGGGCCATTGACGATGCTGGGATCGTTGGTTGTGGCGAGCCAGCTGGCCAGCCGACCAGGATGCTAGGTAGCGAGGTAGATATACAAGTAGAGGTAGAAAGATAGATATAGAGACAGACAAACAAACAGACAGACAGACAGACAGACAGACAGCCAGACGGACGGACAGACAGACAGACAGACGGACAGACGGACAGACAGACAGACAGACAGATCGACAGGCAGGCAGCCAGAGAGACAAACAGACGATGGATATCTAGATAGATAGATAGACAGATAGATAGATAGATAGATAGATAGATAGATAGACAGATAGATAGATAGATAGATACAGACAGCTAGATCGGTAGCTCCACAAATAAAAGTGTGTCCGCCGCTACGGATATTTGTGATGCTTTCAGGCATGAGTTGGTAGATGTTGGAGTTCTTTTCAGTGCAACCCGAGTTTAGATCTCTAGGACTAGGTTTCCCTAGCCCCGACCGATGCAACTCGCCCGAAACTCTATGAAACCGTAAACCCCAAACCCTGAGCCCATCTGCCTCAACTTTCAGCTTCGAGCCACTAGTCCGAACCCAGAGTGCCAGAACCATTCATAATCAAAGGCCCCAAACCGCTGAGCAAAACGAAGTGGCTGGAGAGTCCCACGTGTCAGCGAGCACTAAGAGCCTGAAGCAGCTTGGAATCTTCGGTGCACTTGGCAGCCACCTTCCGCAGCTCCAAGCAATCCTTCAGGGCCTGACAAGTCTTGAAGTTTCTGTATTTAGGCTGGCCAGGAGCAGTTGGTGTGGGAGCTCAACCTCAAGAATGTCGGCTCAGATTCATTCTGAACCATGTTTTTTATTGCAGGGTTGCTTGCCTCATGTATGATTTAAGAGCTTGGGGGCGCTTGAGTGAAGGAGGAAGGTGGAGGAAGGAGACAGTTATGAAAGTTATTTCATATTGGAGTTGTGGCATCAACCATAAGCTGTTGGTTTAAGGTTTTAGGGTTGACCCACTGAGATAAACCCCACAACCAAAACCTAGCCCTAAACCCAAGAACCCAAACAAACCGAAACTGAAACATCCACCCTAAACCCTAAACCCTAAACCCTAAACCCTAAACCCTAATCAGAAGCTCGGACGATCCGCAGCCTCCTGTCGGTTGCGCCGAGCTGGGCCAACTACGGTGGCCAGTTCTCCAACATCCAGGAGCGCCTTCACTTCTTAAAGTAGAAGGGTTTAGGGTTTAGGGTTTAGGGGTCTTAAAGTAGAAGGAGACTTCGTAAGAGGGGGTATCAGTACGTACATGTGGGATACACACAGATTTAACACAAGTCAACCGCATATACCCCCCCCTGCGATTTTCGTCCTGGGAACATGGCTGTTGTCTGATCGTTCGGGATGACACAGCTCAAACTATCGCAAACCCGAAAAATCGATGATCCCTCAAGCCCTGTAGATGCTGTAGACCTTATGAACCCCGTAATCCCTGAACCCCAAGAAGATGCTAAACAAATCCGTGGTGCGGTGATCTCGGCGAAGAATACTCCGCCTTTCCTTGGTTTATGGTTTAATTTTTGGCTTCTCTCAATAACTCCACGTGCACGCTGACCATAAGATTCGAAGCCCTAGTGGGCTTTGTTGCGAGCTAGATGCGTGATAGCCCTGGAGACCACCTTCGCCTCCATCTTGCTGTCACTGGACACGGTACGGTTCAGGTTCAGGGTTCAGGGCTGCAGTTTGGGGTCTGAGGTTCAGGGTTCGGGGTATCGAAACATAACCTTTTGGGGTAAGGGTGTGCAACTGCGGCATGTGCCACAGTTACTGTTGCTGTGAATCAAGGCCTGCAGGCCGCGCCAATCTTCTTCAATGTCCACTTTTTGTTCTTTATCAACCAAAGCCGTTGCACTGTCAATACAGAAGTGTGGATTGTTGTGCTGCATGCAGCCGTTCAGGACGTTTCTATCTACCTACGTTCACAAGCTTGAGAACAGCTGCGGACCTCCACGCAATCAACAACGGTCTCCCACAGTCTAGCTTTGCACGCAACATTCTAGATACAGCCACAAATCCCAAATTATAACAAACCGACACTCTGTGCCCCATTCCCTTGCGTTGTGCTCTGCACAAGACCTAAGCCCACGCAACTGACCTTCAAGAACCAAGCCATGAATTCGAAGCCCCAAAACCCCAAACTCTGGTTTAAGGATTTTAAAGTAGCTTTGCCGCCGGGCGGCTCCCTGAGGTTCCAAAGCTCTAGCATCTTCGGTCTTGCTAGAGTCGTAGGGCTTTTGGATCTAAGGATTACTGATTACTGTTTCGGGGGCTTTGAGGCTAGGCAGGCATCGTTCACATCGGATGCATAGGTTTTCTTACGGCATGAAAAACTTTCGCCTGACCTCACACCATGCAACCCTTCTCCACTGCGCGAAGTGTAGCTCGCAAGGTTCATGTCAAGGTGCCTTTGTCGAACAGACCCTAGGCTTGACGCTTTATGTCCTCACACGGAGCGAAGACCCCAAGCAAACCCTAATGTAGTACCCTAAATAGTAGGATCCTTATTTCAAGGACCCCAAGATAAGGTACCCCTTATTTTCGGAAACTCCCACATAGCATGGTGGCACCTCACTTTGCTCGAGCAGCTTCTGCATGGTCAACAAACGCTTTTGGACCTCATCCGTCAGACCCACATGCCAAGGCTGCATGGGTTCGTGACGTCGTTGGAGAGAGTTCTACCCGTCGCCGTTTTAAGCTTTCAGACGCTATGGCATCTATGGAAATGCCTTGGGGCCTGCAGTCTGCACCTCGAAGTTGAAACTTGCCAGCATCTTAGTGTAAGCACAGCCGCTCGATTCTCGAGTTCGGGGGGCTCAAGTGCATAACCAAATCTATTGTTATTCTTCTTGTTACGCTTGTTGCCGTTCAGTTCTTCTTATGAACTGGATGTGTGCCTGGAGCCTGAAACCCTTTAACACCACAAGCCCTCACCCGAACCCCTAGCTCTCAACCCCGAACCCCATAACCCTAATCCCTACACCTGAAAATCCCGAACTCCAAAACCCCAAAACTCCAAAGCCCAAAACCCCAAAAGCCCACAACCCTCAACCCACGAACACTCACCCATTGAAGAGGCTGGCTGTCACTTTTTGTTTGTTTAAGGGCCTTTGTAATCAGAAGAGGGTTTTGCGATCCAATAAGGTTTGTAATAAGGAACCCTAGCAGATGATATTGGCAGCGATTCAGGCTTCTATATTAGGCCCCCAAACCCCTAAAACCCTAAACCTAAACCCTAAACCCCTAAACCCTCAACCCCTAAACCCCTAAACCCTTCAACTCCTAAATCCCTAAACCCTGA